TATTTTCTTTTTATTTTTTAAAATCATTTGCTTGTAAGCATGAAGTTTTTCAGTGATATTGGTTCAAGAACCTATGCTCATCTAAATCGCAATTTGGAGAAAACAAAAATCACTGTTGAATTTGTCATAGTGCCATGTTAGACCGTTTCGCGATTGGAATAGACTATCATGTCGATATTTGATATTTCACATGTATTTAAATAACATAAGAGCTGAGTTAAAAAAGCAAACAAAACAATTTACTATTTTGATGTGTGCAAGCAACAGGATTTAGTTATCTTAGTTATTTCATGTCGAAATTGAATAAATAAATAAATATCATAGATTTTCGAACTTACAAATTTATATGGTGGAATCGATTTCGAACAGTTCAAATGGAAAATACTGATCCTAATTTTGTGGGGCCTCCCTGGCCGAGCGGTATCGCCGGTCCAAACGCTCTGTTAAGCGTGGAGGTAGCGGGTTCGAATCCCGCCGTAACCCTGGATGTATTCTTTGTGATGTCTTTCTCTGAATTGTTCTATCTGTATTTTCTACTTGACAATGACTTATAAGCCTATATTGAGCACACAAGTCAGCAAATGTATGTAATTTCAATAAAAAATAGAATTTTGCAGTTCCAATACACTTTTGAAGAGGTTGAATTGATGATAATGAAGAAGTGACGATAACAAATGATCGCGAAGGACTGAGTTTGCAGTTTTCTGAGACTTCAAAACCAAAATTAGGCGGTTCCAACACTTTAGGAGATACTCACATTCGTTAGAGGAAAACTCTTAACGGAAACACTTTCTTCCCCTGGCGATCAAGGAGGCTAACACCAATGAAATTAAAAAATTGTATTTACGAACATGTGAGATTTATAGGTTAGGGACAAGATAACTCACAGTCATTCCCGGAATCAGGGGCGTGATGATTGGCTTCTTGCGTTGCTTGGTAATATTTCACCTAATCTTGCAGTCCCGAAGTGAACTGATCGTAAAGACACAGGTTTTCAGTCGAACACCGCAGTCAAATATCACTGGCTGCAGTCAGTAGGCGGGTGTGTGACCACTTTGACCAGTCTGAGTAGGGACCGAGGGTGCGTGGTATCGATCCTGGACAAACTGTTCTACCGTAAAATGCTCGACTTCGGACGCAGGTCGTCGTACTACCAAAGCAGGGGATTTCTGCAGATTATCAAAATTGCGATGGCATGTCTTCGGATTATCCTCAGGGATGTTTCCCAGACCGTAGCCAATAGCCCATTGTGCAGCTCTAGTGCGAGCTGTCAACCTACCTTATCTTGCAAAAGGATGTTCCTTACTTCAAGTATGGTGTGAATTTGGCAAGCGTATTTCGTAAGCGTAAGCGTGAATTAAGCAATTCGTAAAGACACACGTTTTCAGTCGAACACCGCAGTCAAATATCACTGGCTGCAGTCAGTAAGCGGGTGTGTGACCACTTTGACCAGTCTGAGTAGGGACCGAGGGTGCGCGGTATCGATCCTCGACAAACTGTTCTACCGTAAACAGCTCGACTTCGAGCGCAGAGCGTCGGACTACCAAAGCAGGGGATTTCTGCAGATTATCAAAATTGCGATGGCATGTCTTCGGATTATCCTCAGGGATGTTTCCCAGACCATAGCCAATAGCCCATTGTGCAGCTCTAGTGCGAGCTGTCAACCTACCTTATCTTGCAAAAGGATGTTCCTTACTTCAGGTATAGTGTGAATTTGGCAAGCCCTATTTATGATTTTCGATGTTAAAATGCTGCTTTCAGTCACCTGTTTTCAGTCTTCGAGTATTTGGGGACGTTAAGCAGCATAGTATATGACGGTCAAGAGACTCTCCACCTTAGTACTCTCGCCGTTCTGCCAAAAGCTTTATAGCGTGAAGGTAGCGGGTTCGATTCCTATAGTAACCCTGCTTCTGGATGCATCTTTGTGATGTCCTTCGTACTATGTACTTGTATTATGCTAACTCTTCTTCAACTTTATAAGAGCTTATTAAACATGCTTTGCAATTAGCATAAAAGTCTGCATATATCTTTTGAAATATAACTGATTAAATATTGCGTGGCTTTTGGGGGGCTTCTTGGCCGAGTGGTATTACCGTTCCGCCAAATTTTTTGTGGTGGGAAAAAGGTAGGTTCGAATAGCATCCTAACCATGCATATATCTTTGTGATGTCTTTCTTTAACATGCAATATCTCTTCTTCCACTTGACATAGTTTAAAAAGTCGCTCTATGTATTGAGAATACAAGCCCACATATATATACCATATCTTAACCAATCGACTCAATTTTCAAATTATAAAAATTATAATGCTTTTACTACAACTACTCAGGCAAGAGATTACAGCTGTTAATGTACTTCCCGACTGAGACAGAAAAGGTCTTAGGTCGATGTCTTGAACTCACTATAAAGTCTCAGCTTTTGTGCACCTTAGTGAAAAAAGCTAAACTAGTATACACATTAATTCATTGGTCGTGAGTTTGAGTCTGAGTTAGATGAAAGTTCGGTTTCTATTTCCGTTCTTCTGTAGTTATTAAATTCGTTCTACAGTGATTTCTGATATTTTAGATTGTAAAAAGATGGTGGCAAGTTTGCGCCCTTCGCACTTTCGTTATGCACATTGCATTTAGCCTGCATCCATGCGACGCCCTGTGTGTACGAGAGCTGTAATTAGCCGGCGTCTGTGTTATACCGTCTGAAAACTGGTCCAATCTGCTTCAAGGGGCTAATATTCCATTAACTTAAATTGGATTAATATCACTAAAAGTATATTTGGAATGCACTTAATATGTTTTCTAAGCCAGAAAGACATTTTCCTTTGATTTTTTAGATAGGTGGGAACAATCCTTAGCCGAAAGTGCGTAGTCTACAAAAAACGAAGAATTTAAGTATGAGTGTAAAAATTAATGTGGTTTTGTATGTCGACCCTTTTTTTTAAAATTGATCATACCGAACTAATTTAGATACTTTTCAATTTTCTCAAATGGCATTTATAAATTTTTTTATCTTATAGCTGGCGTTGAACATCCTATCCAATTCGAGTTTACGACTGTCAAAGTTAGAGTTCATAGCTTTGCAATTTTGAACCCAATCTAGAAGACAAGAAAACTTTGAGATCAAGTATTGAGACAAACTTGCCTTTGTGTGGAACTTTTTTATGCAACTAACCAGCATTTGTCGTTACATGGTGAGGAAAACCTCATACGGTTAACCCTATGGCAAGGGGACTAACTCTTGATCCAGCTACCACTGAAGCTATTTCACGTCAGTACTTTGTTTAGTGCGAGCCGGGCGCATATTAATCAGCCATAGCTTTGATTCGAAGCTGGGTCAACTCATTGGAAGGAGGGGTGGGGGATATATCTTCTGAGTCATCACATACTTGAAAAACGTAAAAGCTTATAAGTGAATAGTATAACAGCTTAAATAGAAAAATAAAAGGACTCGAGTAAATTCTGAGTACAAACTCCGGACTTTTGTCAAGATCTGAAATTTTAGACTCCAACCACAAAATTATAAAATTCCTTTGATCAAAAATATTTTCTAATCAAAAATTTCTGCATTCATTCAAAAGTTTTCCTGAAACATAATTTATTTCTTTTTCAGTTTAAAAATTTAACGAATATTAAGGATAGAAAAATTTGTGAAACTTGAAGCATAATTTTTTTTTTATGCTCCTCAACTGTTCATATTTGAAAGATGATAAACAAATTGGACAAATAGTTTTTGCACTGTATTTCAAGGGAATGGAAATGATATGTAATGTTATAGTAATTTATAAGCTTTATTTTTTGCCATGGCTGATTCAACTGATCTTTTAAATTTAGATTTTGAGATTGCTTAATATGGTTAGTGTTATTAAGAAGAGAGTTATGGTACGAGTTTACTGTAGTTAAACTAAATTTTTTTACGAATTTTTTTTTGTGGTCAATGCATTTTCTATGCAATTTAAATCTTAGAAAGAAAAAAACACGTAGCTTATAATTTCATTTATTAAAACGAACGCTGGAATTAGAAAATACCAAACTAAAATCATAAATATTGTTTATGAACAAGAATCGGTTGAGTCATAATCCATTGTTTGCATTAACTTCAGGGTTTTTAGTATCTCAAGTTTTATCTCTCTGTCTTGCATACGCTTATGACGTTTTGCAAAGTAATCTTCAAACACCAAGAAGACGACAGCAAGGACGCAAAAGAAACTTGCCAAGTAAGACCATACTGCTATCTCAGGATCAGACGTCCAAAGGATTTGACCGTAGTAGAAAGTAAGTGCAGCCAACCCAAAATGGAAGGCACAAAGAGCACATCGTTCGTCACGTGGCTTATCCTGTGTTCGTTTGTAATCCATAACCTGAAAAGAAAAAAACCATCACTAATTTCAAGAATAAAGAGTATGGTATTTTCACTTATGTCGCACTAGAGTTGCACAATG